GGGTTGTAGAAGGGGCGAGATGCAACAATTTATCATTTGCCTTAGAAGGTGTATCTCAACGTGTCCCCCACCACTGGACCCCTAGAAATTTCACTGAGGTGGAAGGCCCCTGAATTTTTGTTGGATTTATTTCCCATCCTCTGGCGTGCAAATGTCTTACCAATAGTTTTAGAGCAGTTGCTACTTCTTGCTTACTAGATCCAATCAGCATAATGTTATCAATATTACAGACCAGTGTGATATCTTGTGGAAGGGAAAGGCTGTTGAGGTCTCTGTGAATTAAATTATGACATAGGGCTGGAGAGTTGATATAGTACTGAGATAAGAGAGTCAAAGTAGATTGCTGGCCTTGCCAGCTGAAAGCAAACAGTTTCTGATGGGCCTTATTGACAGGGATGGAGAAGAAGGCATTTGCCAGATTAACAGATGCATACCAGGTACCAGGAAATGTGTTAATTTACTTGAGCAATGAAACCACATCTGGTACAGCAGCTACAATTATGGTCACCATCTGATTAAGTTTACGATAATACACTGTCATTCTCTAAGAGCCATTTGTCTTCTACATGGGCCAAATCGGTGAGTTGAATGGGGATGTGGTAATAATCACATCCTTCAAGTCCTTGATGGTGGCACTAATCTCTGCAATACCTGCAAGAATGCAGTATTGCTTTAGGTTTACTATTTTCCTAGGTAGAGGCAGTTCTAATGGCTTCTATTGGGCCTTTCCCACTGTAATATCCCTTACTCTACAGATCAGGGAACTAATGTGGTCATTCTGCCAGCTGCTAAATATGTCTATTCCAATTATACATTCTGAAACTTGAGAAATATCTACAGGAGGTGTTTGGGGACCCACTAGACCCACTGTGAGATGGAGCTGAGCTAAAACTCTATTGATCATCTGACCTCCATAAGCCGTGACTCTGACTAGTGTCACCACATTGATATTTTGGGTTTCTTAGAATTAGTGTCAGTTCAGAGCCAGTGTACCATACTCCCCCAAAGGACTGATTATTTCCTTTTTCCCAATGCACAGTCACCCTGGTAAAAGGTCATAGGTCCCTTTGGGGAATACTGGGGTAAAGATTAACAGTATAAATTTTTGGTAGTGTTCTGGGGTCCATCCTCAAGGGACCTGGCTTTCCTTTTATTCAAAGGATTCTAGGTCTATAAACCAGCTCAAGTCTGTGAATTGATTGAGAGGCCATGACTGTTTTTATAATTCAGGTCATACTTTTGTTCACCTTCCCTTGAACTTTTCTGCTTATACAGATCAAGTAAGAATTTAGTAGGCTTCCTATCTATTTCACTTCTAGGAACACCATGATCAACTAGCTAACACCATAGGTCTGCACAAGTCAGACTATTTTGTTTGCTGCTTTGATTCTATTGTCCGTTACGGTAACTATGCCCACCTTGCATTTAACAGTTGAGTGCCACCACTTGGCCCCTGCCACCCCAGGATCTAATTATTTCCATTGCATTTAGGTTTCCCAATTCAGTGACCGTAGTTCCCACTGTGAGATCTGGCCTACAGAGAAGAGCAGTCACAGAGCTCTCATGCATGCTGGGGCTCTATTCATGAATTTATTTCTCACAGTATTGGTAAAAAGTGTGTTTTCTGGATCCTCCCCGTGTGAGTGAGCAGGTCTTAAATGACAAATCCACCCTAACATTCTAATCTCCCTAAGCTTTTGAATCCTTCTCTCTACATTAAATGAAGACAGGTCTGGCATTTCCAGTTCACTCAGTGGGCCACCTTTTGATCATGTTTCAGCCAACCAACAAAACAAACCGTTAGAGTACTTTCTAACTCCCTTACCTGCAACATTAAATGCAGAGTCTCAGCTTAGTGAGCTCTTATCAATAAATTCAGCCACATCCTACTTTATGTTCCTTCCAACATTATCCCACATCTTTAGTATCCATTCTCACACATGTTTTGTGGGTTTCTGTCTGTGTAATTAGAAAACTCAAGTAGTTCTTTTGGAGTATAGTGCACCTCCTCAAGGGTCACACTTAGTACCTCAACTTTAAGGGGCTTGAGTCTAATTATAAGTTTAGAAGTAAAGAGGGGTGGATCCTAAGGAGAATCAACATTGTCTTGCATGGTGCCTCAGTTTCCTCAGGCAATGCAGGGTTAATTCCTTCAGACAGGAATGGAGAGGCCAATACCACTGGAAGTGGGGGTGCTGCTTCCACTGGTGGTAGGAAGGCCTCTTCTTCTAGGAAAGAAGGCACATCAGAATTCAGGGGCCCAATATAACCATATTCACGCATATCCCCATCCTAACTTAGAGGGTCCCATTCTTTCCCACTCAGTGCCCTCATTTTAACAGTAGACACCCTGTATGACTGAGAGTTCAACTGTCATTGTAATTCAAGTAGTTGCAGGATAAAATTCTCTGATTTTCAGCAATATTTCTCAGTCCTATAACTACAGGGGACATTTTTATGTCATTTATGCAGTACTTGAACTGGGAATTTGAATACCTGAGCTCATCCTTTTCTTTCACCACTTTGTCCAGTGACATTAGGAGCAACTAGCCAACCTTATTGTATTCATCAGTTTTTCAAAAATGCTCAACAGTATCATATACAGTCACCCAGCTACTTACTTCTCATAAATGGTTGATTAAGAGCATTCATTGAAAATATTTGGCATATTTGCACGTTACCAGTGCTGTCTTTATTATTGGGAATAGAGTCATTAGCATCTTTAGTCAGAATTTATGAAGAACGAATTCCAGATACTCTGGAACCAATTCAGAAAACTCATTCTCAAAATTCTGTTTCTCTAGAATCACTGTCAGTATGAAAATCTCTATTAGTTAGAGTTCTCCAGAGAAAAAGAACCAATAGATTATACATATAAACACCCCCCCACACACACATACACACATACACACACATACATAGATATATAATGCATATAATATCTATATGTGTGTGTATATACACACACATATATATAATGTATTTGGTAATGGAGTTCCAGTCTGAGTCCAAAGACCTGAGAGCCAGGAATGCTGATGGTGTCAATCTCAGTTTGAAGGCAGGAGAAGATCAATGTCCCAGCTTATGTAGTCAGGGAAAGAGCAAATTATCCCTTCCTCCACATTTTTGTTGTATTCAGGTCCTGAAAAGATTGGATGAGGCCCACCCACACTCAGGAGGACAATCTGCTGATTCAAATGCTAATCTCACCCAGAAACACTCTCATAGAGATACCCAAAAATAATGTTTAACCAAATATCTGGGCACCCTATGACCCAGTCAAGTTGAGGCATAAAATTAACCATCACACCATGCAAGGAGCAGAGGGATGATTATCTCAAGCAGAAGAAACTGCAAGTACGAAAAGTCCTGAGTAAGGAACCAGCTTAGAGTATTACAAGAGCAGATAATCAGCTAGTGTCACTGGAACATAGTAGGTGGAGAGTCGTACAAGATAAGATCGGAGAGATGGGCAGAGACCAGATGATGCAGGCCATGGTAAGGAGTTTGGATTCTATTATAAGGGAGTTGGAAATCCATTGAGAGTGTTTAGTGGGGAGTGATATGATCTGATTTACATTTTGACAGATCACCCAGCTACTCTGTATAGTAGAAATTGTAAGGGGTAAGAATGAAAGCAGACTGATCAATTATACAGCTCTTGTAGTCATCTAGGATAGAGATTATGGTGGCTTAAACTAGGACAGTGCCATTAATAATATATTTAAAAATATGCTAAAGGACCTAGATATGCATATCCCTGTCCATTTCTCCTTGACTCAATTATACCCACAACTTTAGTCACACACATGTTCATTATTACAAATGAACACAAAACTCTGCTGAATTAGCAGTTTATTGTGTTGAATCAGTTGTGTGTGCTTAATATACACTTTAGATGAAATTATTATATTAGTTTAAATTATTCATAATTTTAGGTTTCACACTTAATAACAATCACATTAAACACAGTTATACTCTATCAATGAACATGGAGAAAATAAGAAGGAAAGGAAAATGCCTTTCATCTAAGGAACAGGAAGGAAGGAAGGAGGGAGGAAGGGAGGAGAAAATTATTTTATATATCAGACTTAACAGAGTGAAGAGAATCCTAAAATAAGAAGTCAGGAAAACTATCAGGTCACAGCCCCGCAACTAACTTGCTGTGTGACCTTGGAAAAATCACTTCATATGGCCCAAGTCTTTACTTCCTTTATCTGTGAAATGGTCAGTTGAACTAATTGTTCTAAAATGTCTCTACCGTTCTCCAAATTGTTATTCTAAGAACCACTCTCTTTATCATGTTGTAGGAGTTTTATCCACCTCATACAGTCCAACCTCGGGAGACAGCAGATAAATTATGAATCCTGGCCGGGCACAATGGCTCATGCCTGTAATCCTAGCACTCTGAAAGGCCGAAGTGGGATGATGGCTTGAGCTCAGTAATTCGAGACCAACCTGAGCAAGCGCAAGACTGTATCTCTACAAAAAAATAGAAAAATTAGCCAGGCGTGGTGGCGCATGCCTATAGTCCCAGCTACTTGGGAAGCTGAGGCAGGAGGGTCACTTGAGCCCAGGAGCTTGAGGTTGCAGTGAGCTAAGATGACACCACTGCACTGTAGCCAGGGTGACAGAGAGAGACCCTGTCTCAAATCCTTATTTTCAGATAGGAAAATTGGGATAAAAAGAGACTAACTGATTTCTCAAGATCCCTCAAGCAGTTGATAATATAGTTTGTTTTATAATACAAAATGTTATGACAGATTTCCAGATATAAAACTTTTCCTCTTCCTTGCCTCCTCCAAAAGGCACTCTCAAAATTGATCATAAGGAAAAATATATGTACCACAGTTCTCCTATGTGATTGATCTACCTTTTGCTTGGCCATTTGAAATGACCATCTATAATCAGTAGTATATAATAAGCCATCCAGATAGCCTAGTAAGGTAGGCTCTCTTGTTGAGCCCTAACAAGTGCTAACCACCTTATTTTTCCTATAGCCGTACGATTCTGTGACCGGTGCCATCTGATCAAGCCAGACCGCTGTCACCACTGCTCTGTCTGTGCCATGTAAGTGACAGCCATATTTCTCCCAGGCTGAGCTTGGCCACTGATAGTTGCCTAGACAACAAAATGACTGATCCTAACATGTAACCATGCCTAGATAAAAACATTTCCTTTCAATCATAATGAGCACATGCCAGACCCCTCACAGGGATTATGATGGTTCAAGCTGTTCTAAAGATAGGAAAGAGAAATAAAACCATATTTTAAAAATAAATTTTTAAATTTTAAAACAGTTTTAGACCTACAGATTTATTGCGAAGACAGTTCTTATATGCCCCACACCCAGTTTCCCTCATTAGTAACATCTTATATTTGGACGGTACATTTGTTCCAATTAATGAACTAATACTGATACATTATTTTTAACCGAAGTTCACACTTTATTTAGATTTTCCTCAGTTTTTCCATTATGTCCTTTATCTCTCCAGGATACCATCCAGGATGCCACATTGCAGTTGGTAGTCATGTCTCCTTAGCTCCTCTTAGCTGTGACAGTTTCTCAGACTTTACTTGCTTTTGATGACCTTGACAGTTTTCAGGATTAATGGTCAGGTATTTCGTAGAATGTCCCTCGATTGAGATTTGTTTGATGCTTTTCGCGTTATTATTAGACTAAGGTAATGCGATTTGGGGAGGAAAACCGTAAAGGTGAAGTACCATTCTTATTACATCATACCAAGGGTACATATAAACATTACTTATCACTGCAGTGTTAATCTTGATCATCTGGCTTACATGGTGTTTGTCAGGTTGCTCCACTGTAGAGTTTATTCACCCCCCCCCATACTGCACTCTTTGAAAGGAAGTCACTGTGCGTAGCCCACACTGAAGGAATGGGAAGTATGCCTTCTCTCCTTGAAGGTGAAGTATCTACATAAATTATTTGGAATTCTTTTGCTTAGAAGATTTTTCTCTTCTCTGCATTTATTTATTTATTCAATCATTTATTTATATCAGTATGGAGGCATGGCTATTCATTTTATATTTTGTGTTATAATGCAATACTACTTTATTTTATTGCTCAAATTGTTCCAGCTTTGTAAAATCCCATTTTTATGTTGATACATATAATCTTCATATCTTTCTTCTTGAGTGCTTATCCCACCCATATTTCTCTTACCTTTGATTCAAACAGAGCCTATAGCCATATATTTTCTTCTGTTATTTATTAAACTGGGTATTGAACAAAATGGGAAGAGACATCTTAGACCTTTTTATTTGTATTAATATCCTGGAATTCCCAATCCCTTTTAAAGGTTGGACTTCTAGGCATGTAACTTTCTGCCAGCATGATCCTATGAAGTGTTGTTGTGATTGCCTCATCCTGGGAATAACTGAAGACAGAATAGTTTTGGAGTCACTATGGATGTACTGGAACCATGTAAAAGTACTGGTGAAAACTTGAGTCTAGTTAAGAGGTGTTGCGTCATTTCCATAGCCTTACTTATCACACTGTATTTTGTCCCCTTTGTAGGTGTGTATTAAAAATGGATCATCACTGCCCTTGGTATGTCCCTTTGATTCATTTCTCTCCTGTAAAAGGGTCAAAGCTGCTGAATATGCCCCCTTTCCTAAGCATGGTTATAACACGCCTGTTTCTGCCACCATAATTCACTGGGTTTTTTATTTGTGTATGGGACAGGGAGGGGTAACATTTTAAAGCAAGAATAAATATATCTCCAAAGGTATGGTAGTGAATTCCTGGGGTCACAAAGCTAGTGGTCTCCTGTCCATTAACTTTAGCAATTGAGCATAGTAATGACACACAGCACAAATATTTCTCCTCTTCAACATTACACAATTCAGTTCTGTTGCTAGCTGGCTCTATGTTTGAAATAGTCTAGATTGTTGAATTCAACAATTCTCCAAATGTATGTCAGACTTAGAGAACCAGTCTGAAATCACCTAATCACAAAGAGAACATGCCACCACTATACCAAGAGTAGCTGCTAAAACTGTAATAGATTTTTAGCAGCCAGGATCCAGGTTTGCTTGGGTATATCAGGAACCAGTCCAGAACTATTAGATAGGCCAAGTGTCTCTGTGCCTATTAAATGAAAGGAGAAACAAGTGAGACGTGAACTTGTTTTTCCAGTCTTTTCTTATTAAGGGACTTCTACCTGTGTTGGGTTTCTACACGACACATAACAAAGCAGCAGGAATAGCATGCTTCCATTACTTAGTCCACTTACGTATCAATGTGTTCTCAATCAATGGGTCCTGATTTCAAATTAGTTTTTCTTTTTCTTTTTTTAGGGTTAATAACTGCATTGGATTTTCCAACTACAAATTCTTCCTTCAGTTCTTAGCTTATTCTGTTCTCTACTGCCTGTACATTGCTACAACAGTCTTCAGCTATTTCATCAAATACTGGAGAGTAAGTTAAAAACATCTTGAAGGGTTCCCACCCAAGAACAAATGTATAACCATTCCAATTTGACATTGTTCACCCTATATCTTTTTACATTTTGAAGTAGATAATACTGAGGTAACCAGAAGGGAAGGCACTAAAACCAAGTTTTACATGTTGAATACTCTGAGATATAGAAGGCTATTATTTAAAGATTCCAGTTAAACAAGTTTCTGTAATACTTGAGAATTTTGCTAAGGCCTTCAGGAACCTAACCTCTTGACTCCTACTGATTCTTTATGATGAACTTCTCCAGTTGAGTTGTAAAGATCCACTTAACAGTTACAGATTTGAAAAACGTTGAAACTAATTCTAAATCCCTAGTTTCCTAAGAAAAAGGCTAACAAAGCAATCCTCTGTTGTTAGAAAATACTTCCTAATTCCCTGTTCAAAGGAGAGTTGCAAAATTCCTACTGGACAGAAACCTATACTGACTCATCGTTACATATGACCAAAATGAAATGGGAAGTTTGTTTTTTTAACTTTGTATGACAAACACTGGGTTGGCAATTAGGAGAATAGGGATCTGATGCTGGCTCTGTTACCTGCTTCACTGGCTCATTGCCAAGATCAAATGAAACATGTTGAAAGTGCTTTACCTTTCAAAATGTGATTCCAATACTTATAATGAAATCTGAAAAAAATCTTTTCATCTTTCCTCTGCTTGAAGATATCAATCATATCCATTTATTTAGAAAAGACAAACTTAAAGCAGATTTTCCAGTTACAAATGTGTATAGGGTCTGGCAGAAATATAGCAAAATATATTCGTTTTTTATTTTATGCTAGTGGACTCTAGAAGATATCCCTTCCCCACAACTCTAGTACAATTACTAAGATATCTGTGATGAGGGCTGTTCAAACCGAACCTGAATAGCAAGAGAAAGATGTGAGCAGAGCTACTAGTTAATACTTTAGGAATTGCACAAGAGCCTGTATAACAGGAATGTCTCACCTCAAATGGAGAGGTAAAGCTGTAGGGAAAGAACATGAATCCTGTGACCAGAATGCAAATTATAATAAACTGGAGAAAAAGGAGAAAGGGCAGGCAGTAAGAACCTAAATAGCTAAGAATATTTAAATTATCAAGTAGTATTTCAGTCCCTACTAGTGTAAAAAATATAGTGTAGAAAATTATAGCAATGTGTGCTTTTCATTTTCCCTTCAACTTGCCTAATCAGTTCAGATATTTAATAACTTTAAGAATAAGGAATTATATAGTGGATAAAAAAATCACCAACTCAGAGACACCAACAAAAGTATAAGCAGAAATGAAGTTTTTCATACATTTTCTTCAAATATGAAATGCTTCACCATGCTACTCATCTTGCCGTCTCTTCCTTGGCCCCTTTCCACAGCACAGGATCTATTTTCTATTGCTCAGGTTTCCACGACCCTGCCTTTGGCATTGTATCTGCACGCCAAGCTACTCCCTGAAATGTGAAGAAAATCTGTTGCAGCCAATCGGCTGTGAAAGTATCAGCCTTGGTCCTCACTACAGACCTTTCTTGGTCCCTAACAGTAGTCAACTGTTCAAGAACCACCTTTTACCCTCATAATAGAGTAAACAATATTGCATTTCCCACATTTTGCCTTTAGCCATCCTAGCCAGTAATCAAATACCACAATGCCAGCCAGGTGCTGTATGCTTTTTTTCTCTCTTGAAAGATGATATTCGGATATGATTTAATCTCCAGAAATGTGCCAGTATTCACAAGCAATACCAGGGGTAAACATAGCCTTGTCCTTTTCTTATTCCCCCACTTTTTTTCCCACAATAGACTAGCTCATGCCCAACAGATGAGAGACGAGGAAACCTGTCTTGGCTTGCCCTCATAAGGAAAAGGGCATCGGCAGTTCAGGTAAATGTTTCTTTGTAGTCTCTCCAGCCAGAGAGCCCTTTAGTGTGGTTTAGGGTTGGCTTTCTCAGTTTAATTTTAAACTCCCCTTACAATAAAACATAAACACTGCCATGTATTTTAAAAGCCATGTATCGAGGTGACATGCTGTGTCCCTAAGAACAGCAACTTCCATTTGTATGGCACTTCACAGTTTTTAAAGCACTTTCATATCCATTAACTCATCTGATCCTCATAACAGCCCTATGAAGTAGGCAAGGCAGGAATTACTAGTCTCGTTCAAAGATAATAAAACTGAGGCTCTTAGTAGTTAAGCAACTTGCCCAGGATCACCCAGCTTGTAAATTTCAAAGTCAGGACTTTTATCTAAGTCTGATCCTAAGCCCAGCGATCTTACACACTATTCTACTGCCCATTGTTCTGCTATGAAGAAACTCTAGTTCCTTTGGAATAAAGAATTCAGAAGACCATCAGATTATTTCTCTCCTCTCAATATTAATTTAAAAAATAGCTACTTTAATAAGAGATTGATCTTTGCCTCATGCAAAAAGTAGTAATACACACCTTTCGCACTGGGCCATGAATCTCTTCACGGAGACTATGAATTATTTTAGAAACAAGATAATAGCGTTATTCTACCAGTATTCCTCTGAACTGTCTCTGGGAGTTATTGCTTTGAGCGATTTAGCTTGGTTATCTTCTGAGAAGGTATTTTTGAACATAGGGCTGTCACCCCCTCTTCTAACAAAAAAAGTTTAATATTAAGAATTCTATAAAGGAACAACACAGCAGATATGCTTTGGAAAGCAGAAGAAAGTTCTACAAGAGTAATTGGGGTTGGGGGAGACTTCCAGCTCAGCTACACAGGGTGTGGACTGACTTTATTTCAGTCCCTCATGCCCAGCCATTTCCTACTGCCCATTTAAATGTGAGAAATAAGAAGTAAAATAAATGTGAGCTTTAAGCTTTAAAATTTTTCTCAGAAAGTAGAGATTATGAAAGCAAAATCCCAGTCAAGGCAAAAACTACTACAAAGCAATACATGGAATCTTTTCTATAAATTCAAAATAAACAAAAATCAATCTAATTCAATTGGGGTGCTTAGAGCAAGATTTTGCAGAGGGATAATTTCAAAAAGGAGAGTTTCACGGTTGATCGGTACACCAAAAGACCAGAGTCCACCACTATACAATGTAGACATGTAACAGAATTCAACTTATACCGTCTAAATCTATTAAAATATTTTAGAAAGGAAAAAGATAAAGTAATAGAAGTAATAAACACACTTAGCAAGGTAGTGGAAAAAAATTTATAACTTAAATTATGTTAAACTTAAAGCTGTGGCATATTAATATTTTCAGTAGGTCAACTTACTTTTGTCTCCTGTGTCCCTTACATTGACTTTCTCACTTCAGGTATGTTATGAATAAATAATAAACGTAATACTGATATTTTAAAATTTTTTAAAAGGAGAGTTTCAGATAAAGGTTCCCGAAGGTTGAAGTCCTTGAGGTAGCTATTTTCTGGGCTACTCTGCCCCCATGCAATTTTCACTGAGACCTCCCCTCAGCTAAAAGCATCTGACTGGCTTACTTCCACTTCTCTGCATCCTTCAAACATATACATCCTGGAAGATTCCCAATATTTCCTTACATAAAAATGAATAAAAATATTCTCTGAGAGAAGAAAAAATCTGTACTATCTGAACTTTCCAAGTGTTGCCAAACCTTAACTTTCTCCTTCCAAACTGGAGTAGATGGTTCTACTCCCCGCCCCCCAATTACTCTTGCATTTGGAAGTTAAGGTCCACTTCACTTAGACTCACTTTTAACTTTATTACTAGAGAGCATTTGGAAAAATTTCAAAGTGATTCATCACACCAAAACAATAATCATCATGGGAAAAGAGGAAATAAATAATAGTCATTTCTCCAACTGCTCACTCCAAAATTGAAAATGTTTTCTTAGGTTCCCTTCAGAAGACAAAATGTTATATGCTCTGCATGCTACAGACCTTTAGAACATTCATTCTAGTCTAGGCTGCATGTAAAAAAAAAAAAAGCTGGTGCCACATGGAAAATAAGTTGTCCCAGATAACTATAAAAGTATTTAACCACCTACTTTTACAATTGCCTGTAAAATCTTGCTTGATTTTTACTGTCTAAACAGCTGTTCCACAGGATGTAATATACCAGCACATTCCACTTCAGCTAGCAAAAACAACCACACAAAATTTGCAACAGCTTTAAAATCAGGTCATGACTTACAGGTTGAACATTTTAAAATTCTATTTATTTTTAACTTCCTACATACATTGCAGTGACATTTTCAATACACATATGTCCAAGGAAACATGACATGTAAGGAATTCCAGAATAGCCCACCTTGAGACAAGAGGATGACCATATGGCTTCAAGATCTCAAAATAAATGGAATACAAGCTTTAAGAGGTTGTGTGCCAATCACGGCCTGAGTATACCCTTTTCACATTATCCTTTTCTAATTGGTACATTATATACTCTATTTTATACTGAACTGCACTTAAGCAAGGATCCATTTTAGGCTTGTAGGCTGAGATCATATCCACAATGAGTTATGGTCGTCAGCAAAAAGAACCATTTTGTAAGAATTTTACAAAATCTATTTCTTTTTACAAAATCTATTTTTTAAATTACAGCTAGACATTTTATACATGTGAAAAACTATTAATACTAACCTATATAGGAAAACTAGCCAAGCTTTACCACCTTAATCTTTTGTTTTGTTTGTTTATTATTTCTTTTCTAGGGGGAATTGCCCAGTGTTCGCTCTAAGTTCCATGTCCTTTTTCTCCTCTTTGTGGCCTGCATGTTTTTTGTCAGCCTTGTGATTCTCTTTGGTTACCATTGTTGGCTTGTCAGCAGAAACAAAACCACCTTAGGTAAGACTGAATATTAAGACTAGGAAAAAACATATTACTGTGTATCAGAGTGGCCTGTGGATTGTTTTCCAGGAAGAGAAAAACTTCCAATGAAGCAATTTAGCTGCAGGGTCACCCCTTAGCCCCTAAACTGAGACAAATGGAAATACATTTTACCAAACTAGAGAGCCATAGTGAATAAAGCTTACAGACTAATAAGAGCATTAGTGAATGAAACCCCACACAAAACCAAAAATGACCATTGCTCTTTGTAGTGCATATTGGATAATAGCTCCCCAGATTTATAGCTCAGAAGTTTTCTAAAAGATGTTCACATGAGGAAATGAAGGAAAGAATCAGTACGAAGGGCGTGTCAGAATGAAGAGGTCAATAAAGATAGAAGAATCTAATTTATTAAGCACATCCAAAAGTAAGAGTCCTGAGAAAAAAATCCAAACCAAAAACAAGAATCCAAAAGGCTTGAGAAAAAACAATCAAATCGATGAATATCTATAATCATCAAGAAGCTGTGTAGGGACTGTGGACATGAGGTAAACACATCGAACAAATGAGTCTCTAGAAAATGAGTACAAGAGATGAACATATTTTCTGTCAGTTACTCTATTCACTAGGCTGCTATTTGGAGAACTATATTTCTCATGGATTCCAGTACAACATTTTTTTTCATCTATGGTGAAACAAATATTTACATGATATACAAATCAGTACACAAGGAGTGAGGAGAAAGTGTCCAAATGTTGAATGTTTAGCTAGGATAGATTTGAGGAAAGTTAGTGCAAAAGCCACTAAACTCTGGAAATTTATTTGCTAATAATGCTAACAGCTAAGGAAGTATTTGCACCCATTTTCTTAATCAAATATATAGATAGCACTTGCTAGGGTGGTAGATTAACACGTTTCTTTTAGAGGTCAGCTGGAAAGTAGAAAAGTACTAAAAGCTTCATGATAACAGTCTGAAAATGAAGAACGAATGGGAAGTAGTCAGATTCAGCCAAAGTCCAACAGTGAAAGTGTTTGCCTAATGGGATAAATGTGTGTCTAAAAATAATGTGCACTAACATGGTCCAATTCCTCATAGTCTTTGAAGTGATTATAGTTCACTCATTGACATTTTATCTGGAGTAAAACTCAGTTTCTTACACTGTAAGCTTCAGCATGAACATCTTCATTTCTGAAATGTTTCACAACAAAATCAATATCATTACCATCTCTCTATGTGTCAGTACTTTGGTCCCAGCTCTAAAGATGGCAACTATTTAGCTGTCGTTGCCACTTAGAATCAAGTAAAGTGCTGTTAAATCTGTTCCTTTACTCCTTAAATCCAGCAGTACAAAATACATACTACCCCCACGGCTGCTTAATTATCTCTACCATCGTGTGTTTCCCCTGCCTTTTTATTAAGAGATTCTATTAAAATAATTCTTTATATTGAATAACAAGCTTAGCTTGTACTACGTGATTAAACTGGTATTTACTAAGTACTTTAGCAATAACTAAGAACTAGGGGCCTATGCTACCACAGCAAAAAGATATCATAGTTCCATTGCCGATGATGACACTAAAAATAAATTTAAAAAAGATATCATAGAATGAAATCATATTCATAGAGAAGTGTAAAATCATGACTGTGCTGAAATTTTTTCCTTTATTGCTTTCTTCCTCTTTTCTTCAACTCCCCTACCCTGCCCCAGAGGCCTTCTGCACTCCAGTGTTTACAAGTGGCCCAGAGAAAAATGGGTTCAACCTTGGCTTCATCAAGAATATCCAGCAGGTGTTTGGAGATAACAAGAAGTTCTGGTTAATACCTATTGGGTCCAGGTAGGTAAATATTACCATTGTAAGAAGTTGATGCTGGACCATGCCTTGAAGCAGCAAATTCAATTTTGATTGTAGTATACAGCAAATATCAGTCCAATGTGAAACTCTATTCCCCAAGTTTTCATTTCTAGGTTAGTAAAGACAAATAAGGAGGCAAGGGTATGATAAAATAGACATTCTCATGCTAGTTTGTGGCAGCATAAACTGGAACCAATCTTTTAGAACTGAATTTGGTAATATCTATCCAAAAACCATAAGCATCTACATGTCCATCATCCCAGTAATTCCATATCTGGGAATCTACCCTAAGGACAGAGATAAACTATGCACAAAAATGTTCATCACAGCATTATTTACAGTTGATAATTAGGAAACAACCTAAATATCCAACAATATAGGGATGGAGAAATATGTATATATGTACATATCTATCTATCTATCTCTACTGGATGGAATATTATGTTGCAAAAAGTAATGGTTATAAAGACTATGTCACAGTGAAGGGAAATGCTTACTATATTTTTGAGTGAGAAATGTAAAATCCACAATGGTATGTACACTGTGATTATAAATGTAAATAAATATTTATAGAAGGAAAGTAACAGAAGAGAAATATACAAAAATGCTAAAAGTGGTAAGGGCAATAGTTTTAGAAATTATTTTTGTTTTCTCTATTTTTCATATTTTGGGGTAAAATGCTAATATTATTTTTATGAAGGACAAAATTAAAATAAAAACCAGGAACAAACAAAGATTGATTTAGAGACTGTAGGTAATTCTTAGAACTGCAACAAAAAATGCAGGGAAAGCAGTGAACGAGAAATGAACAGAGCTGAGCTTGTGTCCTCCAAGTGACTTCATGAATCAGATTGAACCACCATCAACTAAAATAGCTCTGGAGTAGAGCTTGTTTACAGCCCTCCTGCAGCCTCCTTTAGAGCTCCTCCTCCAACAGAGATACATTCCATTTCACTTATTTGAGGAAACTTTGTTGGGGTAGGATGATAATTAAGGAAAAATTTCTCCCCCCACCCCCCAGCACTCATTGCCCTGATGTTTTCTTTGCACGAGTCAATATTTGACAGGCTCACTTATTTAAGAGATGTAGTATATCCTACTGTCTGGTCTATGAATCACAAGACAAAACTATGTCAGTGGGTAATATTGATTAATAACTGTTACCAGCATTATTTATACCCCAGTCACACATATACACACACAAATATGCAACACACCATCACCACATCAAAGGAAGATCTATTATAAAAGGAGCCTTCTCTGGAATAAAGAACAAAAACAAAAATAATCAAAGCCCATTTACTTACATTCTCTGTAGAGTACTGTCAATAAAAATCTGTCAACTTTCAATTAAGTACATTCATGAACAGGAGAAAAGAAATAGGTAATATCGAATGAATTATCCAAAAGTAACTCAGATTTAAATTTGGAATGCATTCAGATATATAGACTCAAATGTTCAAACTATAACCCACTCTAGCCAGAGCCAGCTCAGTTCCTTCCAATGTATCCCATCCCTTAATGGCCAGAGATTAACCAGGGAGGTGACCCTAGCTTACCATAGATATCCACAAAGTGGGATCCCCATATGTGGATAACTGCCCCCAAAATCTACACTCCAGAGATGCCTCACTCTTGCTCTTTCCCCTAGTTCCTTAATAACCTTTCTGCCATGCAAGCCAAATAAATAACAGGGCACTCAACCATTATCTCTCACCAATTCACAGCAGCTTATCTCCACTGTATTCAATGATTCTGAGTCTGCTCATCTTTCTTGAAAATTTAGAATCAAAGCAATAAGATAATGGGATATAAATTGGGGTCATCATCATTAAATGATATTTATAAAGCTTGCTTTGTGTGCATATTGCCATACTGGGCATTGTGGGAAGCAAGTTAAAGAGTTGCTTACAAACAACAACACTCAACAGCGATGCAGACAAACAAACGAGATATGGAAATTGAGAGCAGTGCTATTGTAAGAGCATATTCCACCATGGCTTTAGACAATAAGCTTAAATATTCCTAAGAAATGCCCCCATCCTATTTCTAAGAGGATTATGGCCTTCATAGAAAGTCTATGTCAGCTGCAGCAGCTCACAGCCATTCTTTCTCCATCAGCCCTGGTGATGGACACTCCTTCCCTATGAGATCTATGAATGAGTCACAGAACCCACTACTAGCAAATGAAGAACCCTGGGAAGACAATGAGGATGACAACCAAGGTAAGTAGGATCGGAAGCAAGTCTTGCGCCAGCAGACCAAGCACTATAAAGTCCATGTTAATATAGCCAGTGTAACATGGTGAGTAAATAGTGTCCAGAAAGATTTTTATAAGCGTATCAACTTCATACATGCCCTCTGGTTGGAAGAGGGGAAGTATGGCCAGATTTGTTTAGCAAACATGGTAGCTTCAGTAGTATTACATGGCAGCTTGGCAGGTTGCTTACTAGCTTTGTGATACCATGATTTATATAACCAGTCAGATAAATCAGGAAACATAATAAACAGTGCTGTGCCTGCTTGTAAATAATCCTGCCAGGTGATCACTCGTGCTTTGCTTGAATGTGAAGCTGTAATTCAATCAATGGGCAACAGTTCACCTTTCTCTACCCTACTTCATTCACATTGGTTGAATTTTGTTTAAATCTTATTCTCTTTTAGAATGGTTTAAACACATTAAAAAATAAAAGACAGTAATGGGGGCAAGCCTACACCTGCTTGTAGTCTACTTTTCTAAAAGGCAGAAGGGCAAAGGAAAAATAAGGAAACAGAACTTTACCCTTCCAACTTTCTCCCACCAGGTCATTGGGTCATCTTGAGACTTCTTGTGAAGAATTAAAAGTTAAGTTTTCATGCTATATATCCCCATTGCCATCCCTATTCTTTGTCTCCACCTATTGCTATACCTACTTCTGTGCCTCCAACATTTGCATATGTTGCTAATACCAGCCAGCAGAGAGTAGTTTTTAGCTACTGGTCCCAATAATGCAGTACCTGGCAGCAATTTTGAGTAGGAACTTGCAATTATCACACACTGTACCTGAGGCGAAAGAGGCTGAATGAGGACATGGAAAAGCATTGGGGTGGGAGCAGAGATAGAGAGCAAGCCTTTCTAAATTTTCGCCCAGTTAGATTATCCAGGCCCAGTTTCTCTACTCAGAAGTCCAGTTTTATAGAAAAGCATATTACTAGGACTAAAGAAGAGACAAAACAGCCCTAAATTTATAGTTAAAAAAGAAAACAGGTCTCGCCCACAGAACTAACAACACAAGCAACTCCCTTACCTCCTCCTGCTGACTATTGAAAAATTGACTGTATTTTGACCTACCTTCCTTCAGCCTTCAGTCTTTCTAAATAGACTTTTACTTACAGCAGTCACAAGTGATAAGAACTCTTGTGTTGGTATTAAAAACCCAAACTCTAATAGACATCAGAGACTTGTCAGGTCTTAACCTAGTTTGAAACAACTCTACTATGGAAAAAACTATTCATATCTGAGCCTTGTGTTGGCAAGTGGAACACTTTAAGTGTAGATGTAGCATCATATCATGAAAAGGGGTCTTTAAATTTTTTTATTTCAGAATATCACAGTAGTACAAACACTTTGGTTACATATATTGCCTTTGCGCCACCCGAGTCAGAGCTACAAGTGTGCCCATCCCCCAGAAAGTACACACTACACCCATTAGATGTGTATATACCCATCCCCTCCTCCCCCGCCAGCTGCCTGACACCTGATGAATGTTACTACTAAATGTGCATGTAAGTGTTGATCAGTTAATACGAATTTGATGGTGAGTACATGTAATGCTTGTTTTTCAATTCTTATGATACTTCACTTCGAAGAATGGGCTCTAGCTCCATCCAGGATAATATAGGAGGTATTAGTTCACCCTTTTTTGTGCCTCTGTATTACTCCATGGTAAAGCAGTCTCCAATTCCAAACTTTTTCGAAAAATATTCAATCATAAAAATTAGTATATAATTATATAGTTTACAATGTACTTTCATATACTTTTTCCTCATATCCTTTGACCCTCACAACTGTCAGGTTAGGTAAGCATTGTTATTAATACCATCCCCATTTTATAATTGAAGAAACCAAGATTCAGAGATATTAAGTAACTTATCGAAGATCACATAGCAAGAAAGAGGTAGAGCTTGGACTTAAAGTGAGGTATCTTGATTCCAAATCCTGTGTTTTTTCTGGTACAATGCCATGTCTTTCTTTTGGACAAGCATATATGAGACACAGTGCTATGATTGCGTGTTACCTGAAGCATTCAACTGCTGCTTACATAAATCATAAAATCATACTATAAGCCACCCTTAACTTCAGTAAGACCACTATGCCATCTCAAATAGCTGATGTTTTTTTCCACTGAAGGAGACTCCACAACTCTCCTTTATAACCCATCTCAGTGTCTAACAGCTTTGACTATTAGAAAACTATACTGTTCTCTAATGCAAGTTCTCATGCTGTATTATTTGTCCAGTTGATTCTGTATTATCCTTAGTTGCTCCCATTTTCTATGTATAACTGGTCATATACAAATATACAGATCCATAGAGTCTTCTGAGAAAATTTAACAGGCACCTTTTTAAAAACTTTGGAGGGACTTGGGGCTACATTTAAGCTTTTTGAGGAAATGATCCATAGACGTCTGTTCTATTACTGCTTGTCCTCGTTATAAATTTTCCTCTAGCTTACATAATAAAAATTAGAGATTATAATATAACTCTGCTCTATTCAAATTGGGATCCATTTCCTCCAAATGGTGGCATCTACGGCCCTGCCTGTCATAAGTGGCATGAATAATAAATTGGGTATGCTTGTCAGGATGATTCTTAAATGCATACTGCTGTGAATCAGAGCCTACTTGTATGTGAAACCCACAAAGAACCCCCTCAGCTTTCTCCAGGGGAGGAGAGAGTAATCCTAGTTCCTTAATATTTTCCTATAGGGCTCATTTCTCAATATTTTTTTATCTTTATGGCTCTGGTGCCTTTCTGAATGTTCTATGTCATTTTACTGTTTCAGCAGGTAATAAAGCCTGTGCCATTTTCCAATCATTACTTTTTTCAAAATTAGTTGCTGAACTCTTTGATCATGAACATTTATTATATTTGAGATGCAGCATCCCTAAAAATCCAAAGGAGGTAGCCACAGTCAATATTCTGTAGGCAGTAAACTTAACAGAGACATTGACAAAGACTCCAGCAGCAGAGCTATGGCTATTTCCATTTGAAAGGGAGTAACTCTGTTTTTTCTAAATGTATATTTATTTATTTGTTTGTTTTTCATTGTAAAAATTTAAGGTGTACAACAAGATGTTTTGAAATACAAATACCTAGTGCAATGATTGCTACAGGTAAGCAATTTAACATGTACATCATCTCACATAGTTACCTTTTTTTTGTGATAAGAGCACCTAAAATCTACTCCATTAGAAAATTTCCAGTATACAGTATTATTAACTATAGTCCCCATGCCGTACTTTAAATATCTAGATTTATTCACCCTACATAACTGTTTACTTTGTGCACTTTGGCCTACATTTCTCCATCCCCCTGTCCTGCCTGCCTCTGGTAATCACCATTCTATTCTGTTTCTCTATATTCAACTCTTTTTTTTCTTTTTTTAGATTGCATACATAAAGAAATCACGCAATATTTTTCTTTCTATATGTGGCTTATATCACTTAATATAATGTCCTTTGGGTTCATCCACGGTGTTGCAGATGGCAGGATTGCCTTCTTTTTTAATGCTTAATAATAATCCCTTGTGTGTGTGCGTATCACAATTTTCTTACCCATTCATCCTTCCACGGACACTCCAGTTGTTTCCATATCTTGGCTATTGTGAATAACACTGCAGTGAACATTGGAGTGCAGATGTCTCTATGAGATACTGATTTCATTTCCTTTGGGTATATACCCAGAAGAGAGATTGCTGGATTATATGGTAGTTCTATTTTTAATTATTTGAGGAACCTCCATACTGTTTTCCATAATGGCTGTACTAGTTTATATTCCCATCAACAATGGATAATTGTTCCCTTTTCTCCACATCCTCACCAATATTTATCTTTTGACTCAAGAATAACCATCCTAACAAGTGGGAAGTGATATCTCATGTAGTTTTGATTTGCATTTCCCTGATGATTAGTGATGTTGAGCACCTTTTCACATACCTGTTGGCCATTTGTATGTCTTCTATAGAAGAATGTCTATTCAGATCCTTTGCTCAATTTTTAATCAGTTTTTTGCCCTTGAATTTTGCAAGTTCCTATGTATTTTGGATATTAATCCCTTATGAAATACATGGTTCACAAATATTTCCTCCCATTCTGTAAGTTGCACTTTCATTTTATTAAGATTTCAAAATTCTAGTTTATTCATTCGTTTTTTGATATATCACTATGAGGAAACCATTCTTATTTTACTTAACATTATTAATCTAAGGAATCTAGTAATTTGAAATTACACTGAGGTTTTTAAATTTTTTTATTGATATATAATAAATGTACATATTTTGGGGATACATGTGATATTTTAATACATTCATATAATATGAAAAGACCAAATCAGGATATTAGGCTGTCCATCATCTTAAATATTTGTCTTTATGCTAGGAACATTCAAATTATTCTCTTCTAACTATTTTGAAATATAAATTATTGTTAACTATAGTCACCCTATTGATGTATCCAACATAGGGTCTTATTTCTTCTATCTGTATATTTGTACCCATTAATCAACCTCTCTTCATCCCTCTCCACCCCTCTACCCTTTCCAGCCTCTCATAACCACTGATATACTATCTTCATGAGATCCACTGTTTTAGCTCCAACATATGAATGAGAATCTGCAGTATTCCTCTTTCTGTGCTTGGTTTATTTCACTTAACACAATGACCTCCATTTCCATCCATCCTGCTGCAAAAGACAGAATTTCAATCTTTTTATGACTGAATAATATTCCACTATGTATATATACCACATTTTCTTTATCCATTCATCCATTTATAGCACTTAGTTTGATTTCATATTTTGCTTGTAAACAGTGCTGTGATAAACATGTAAGTGTAGATATCTCTTTGATATATTGATTTCCTTTCTTTTGGATATATACCCAGTAGTGGAATTGCTGCATCATTTGATGGTTCTATTTTTAGTTTATGAGGAACTTCCACAGAGTTTTGCATAGTGGCTGTACTAAT